AGCAAGGAAAGGGGATCCAAGTGCCATGCAAAGGGAAGGAAGGAGGGATTTTCTCTACTCTCAGCCTCCAGGAACCAAATCCCATTTCCCCAAACCCACAAAGTGGTGGTGGAGAAACTTAAAACTTCAAGGTCTAAGTTCATTGATGCCTAATCCAGGTATTATAAGAAGGACACCCCTGCCAAAGTTAGAAAAGACATTGGAGTTTCTTTGTTTTAAACTAATGATTAACTCTGCAGTGCAAGAAAGAAACCTGAAAAAAAGCCAGCCAAATAAATAAACCAACCAAGGGTTGCAATTCTCCAACTCAGATTGAAATAAAAAAAAAAAACACACACACAGAGAGAGAGACACAGAGCTTCTCATTTCTTTCTCAAAGCTTTGCACAATGTTTAGAGAAGCATCCAAAAAAGCAACCGAGATGACTCAGTTTCAGATCACCGTCATACAATTGCCAAGATGAGGTTTGCTTCCAACCAGACAAACGAACAAGTTACCCATGTAATACGGGAGGTTGGCCAACCAACCTCTCCCTTTTTGGAGCTGCACAGATGTGTGTTCACAGAAAGCGCAAGCCATGTCGAAAGAGTAAAAATAGGAAGGTGGTGGGAAGCTACGCCACCAACCATCCCATCAAAACCTGTCAAGAGAAGGAGAGAGACAACCCCACACACTTTCCATGGGGCCATGTCCCTATTCCCCACCCACACCTTGTCCCAAAGTTAGGTACAAACAAGCTCATGGGCTGCAAATAAAGATTACACAGGAGAGGTACTTGAAAAAGCAGGGGAGGCTGTAAAGTACAGCAACAGACAAGGAACAGAACCTGAGAAAACAAAACAAAAAAATACACTGGTCCCTCCACATTCACTGGGGTCAAGGGTAAAGGACTGCCGTGAATGTGGAATAAAATAAAAAACACTATTCTTTTTACTTGAGAGAACACCTCTCTAGGAATCTCCTGGTCCTCCAGTGCAACTCTATGGTCAACATCTGCCAGAAGTTGATCAAAGAATCATGCTGGAGGACCTACAAATGCCCAGAGAAGTATTTTTTCTGGGAACCTCTAGGTTCTCCTGCACAACTCTATGGTCACCTTCCATCAGATTGTACTCGAGGACCCTAGAGATTCCTAGAGAACATATTAATCAAAACCGCAAATAATAAAATCCACAAAAGTCAAAGCTGCAAACGTGAGGGCCAATTGTGACAGCTCTTCTGCTTGGTAGGCACCAGAAACAATCCTGGCTACTATCCACTTCTTTATAAGAAAGTTGTTCTATCCACAACTTCATACAAAAACCAAGGCTGCTATTCTGGACATACTTACTAGGAAATAAACCCCAATAAAAACCAATGAGACCTGTGAGCAAACAATAGTTAGTGTCACAGTAGCAGAGATCTGCATACCCAAGAGGCAGTGTGGCATAGTGGTTAGTGTTGTACTGCAACCTTGGAGGCCAGAGTTTGATTCTCAGCTCCGTCATGAAACCCCCGGGTGACATTAGGCAAGCCCCACTCTTAGCCTAAGGGAAAGGCAACGGCAAACACCCTCTGCAGAAATTTTCCAAGAAAACCCCATGATAGGGGTCACCATAAGTCAGAAACGATTTGAAGACACAAAACAACAACAACAGAAGCAGCAACAACAAAACAAACAATGGGACTTACTAGCAAACAATGGTTAGTGTCACTGTAGCTGAGATCTGTGTACCCAAAACACTGACTGTACAGGCACAAATGCAAGCTGGGAACACCACAGAGAACAACAACAACAAAAATGCAATTTGGTCACCACATCCACATAAACTTTTCACACAGGAGAAAAGTGGCCTGCCTCCCTTGAAACACCAGGAATGATAATAAGAGGTTTGGAATGAGGCTTTGCTTTTAGCTGTTTTGTTTTTTTGATGAACAGGGGCAAAAAGAAATCAGCAGCTAGCCATGAACTGGAGAAGAATGCCACACTATTTGCTTTTTTCCTGCCCAGTATCATGTTATAAACACCAACCAATCCTGGACCAAATTAAGTCATGTATGTATTTTAACAAAAACCCTGCTCTTTGTCTCCTAAAATGCTATGGCAGGGACCAAGTGAACAGAAAGTAGGGGAGGGCAGAAGGGAGAAAAGATACACTAGGTCACAGTGGGGCCTCATCTTGGCATAATCCAGCTGCCTTTTCACAATTTATATGTAATGAGAATCTACACACACACACACACACTTTTTGATCACTGAACCTGCTGGAGTCCTAATCCTCCCTGAAACCAGGAGAAATTCACCATCAAATAAAGTTTGTATTTGAAGGAGGATATGACATGCATATGGCAACTCAAGCCAGGGATAAAAATAGCTTTGATTCCAGAGCAATCATGAGCCACTTCCTATTTGTTAAAAACATTTTAAAAGCAGACTTCACAAGACAATATGAAGCATAGGTTTTGTAATTTTCAAAAGATACACACCGTGGTTAAGGAGGAGGTTAGAAACTCACCACGCACTGTCACCGTTGACTGTAATAATTCCTCCCCAGCAGGCCTAATCTTAACAAGTTTGTTTATCTCTGGAAATGAAATACCATTTGTAACCCCTTCGCCCATCTACCACGGTTAATTCCTCCTCCATTAAATACTCCTGGGGGAGGTTAACGTGTTCAATAAGCATCTCCAAATGCATTTCAAATTTATGCCAACCCCCAACCATTTCTTCACTTCCTTCCCCACCAACATCACCACCTGACAAACATAACTATTAACAAAACAATTCTATAAGCAAATTCACGGCAATAATTCTGAAGCCTGACTCTCCAAATATACACACACATACGGATGCGCAAACATATGCACAAGGTAGCATCCCATGAGGGGCAAAAAGAAAATGTAATTTGAAAAACAAGAATAGATCCTCGTTAAAGGAAAAAAAATCTACATGGAACTGAAGTGTTACATAAACAAAGTCAGCAGCCAGAGGGGAGGAAAGGAAAAGAGAGGGGACAAATTTTGTGTCGTTTCGATCTTCTCCCCCATCCCACAGCCCCACTTAAATTAGTTGCTCTCTAGATTCCCCCACTCCACATTAAATTCCTCCCCCCCC